TTGCTGCACAAAAACCGTCAATGAATTCAATGCGTTTTGAAATGTTTTCGATCGATGTCACATTGAAATTTTACCCCGCAAACCAAGCTTGCGGACTGTTTTGAGAATAGGTCACCGGCGGTAATTTATTCAAACTTAGTCGGAAACTTGTTGAGCGTAAGATCTTAAAAATCTCCGCTTGGTTAACTTGCTCTTTCACGCCGTCAGTAACGGCAACCAAATTTAAAAACGTCGCCTATTTGCAAAAGAGTTTTTCAGAGCAAATGACATACCTAAAGTACAGAAAGAAAACAAATTTGATTGAAACCAAAGGTACTTATTAGAAAAATGAATTTTTTCAGGGTTGTGGTAGTCATACAATCTTGATAGTAATAAGCGTCCATCACTTTTAGTTAGTTCCACTTGACTTATGCTGTCAAAAAGGTCAATAATTTAGATCTTGGCTTTGAATAGAATAAAAGCCTTTTTTAAAGTCCGATGTTAGCTCACAATATATTTATGGGACTTTCGCACGCAATGGAACTGACAATAGCTTTCTGCATGACAACGCGTCCGCTAACAGAGCGTTTTTCAGTTACTCGAGATCGCGCGCTTTAACCATCGTATCGCTATTTAAGTCTGTTTTAAGGAATCTAGAACGCCCTCGATTTTCCCTATTAGTAACTTAAGGAAGAGTACCTCTGTAAATAAGACTATTATAACAAAAAAGAGGTTTCCTTATGCAAACAATTAACTTAAAGAACTTTACCGAAGACGTAGACGGAAAATTGACGCTAGCTTCAGGCTATCAGCTTGAGAATCTACTCATTTGAAAGTAAAATTTTCATTTTTTAACGGTGTCAAATCAGAGTATATTGGATTACCTTTGAAGAGTGGGAGCTGTTGTGCGGTGATTTGAACCAAATTGTTGATGAAAAAAATTCCAATTAATGCAATTTTCAAATGAAAAGCCACAGGAATGGACAAAAACGCACTAACTTATTTTTAGAAACCTTACATTTTTAGTGTTAGCATTTTTGGGATAAATACAAGAAAATAAACAGCACTGATGTTGGCTGCAAATGCTGTTTGTGAGTTGATCATTTTCCAGAGAAATTTCGGAGAATTACAAGATTGTTGTGGAACACTGCTTTAAAAATATGTCACGTTTCACTCAGTATTTAATTTTAAACTACATATATGTCCACACTAGGCTTTAAAATTTCGATATTTTTCATTTTTTAACTTGCATACTCATGCTCAAAGAATTTTTGACCACACAGTCTGGCAAGAGATTTGTCCCATGCTTAAAAAAAATATGACAAATTCCGGCTTTTCCTAACCACCCCAAAAATTGCAGCTTTCTCCAATTTTGTAACTCAAAACTATAGTAATCGATCCTGAGAATTTCACAATGGGTAATATTTGCCTGCGTGGGTACACCTTGAAAGGCAGTGAAGTGTGATAGAAGTGGAGTAGAATATGCTTGCAAGTCTAGTTCAATGCCTGACATCGAACTTTCCTGGATGCGCTATTTACAACAGGAAGTAGTAGTTCTTTTCAGCTACTACTTATGATCTAGAAATGTTCCGAAATCTGTCAAAGTCACACGTTCGCGTATGGCACGATTAAAAAAAAGTCACGTTTGACACGGAAAATGCTCAAGCACAACAAACCAATCGATGAGAGATAGAGAGAGAAAGACATCTTTTGTGAAAGTCCATTGTACGTATTGATGTGAACAAAGCGTTTCATAATTTCCTTTTTATAACGGACGTGTAGTCTCTGTTGGAATTCGAATAATTCATTAACGAAAGAAAACGAACAATAACAGTTGCCTTCATATCTTGGAATATTGCCGGCTGTATTGGCCCAAAACATCGCAAAACCGTTTAGTTAAATATGTTATGTATCAACATTTATCCTAGTAATGATATTGTACGGCAGTAATAAACATTATATCAATGAGAGCAAAAATCTATTTGAAAAAAAGACTGGATTAAAGTGACTTAGGTCAAAAGACTGATCACAATGAAGTGTTTACAACCATCAAAATTTCGCGGGGGCAATTTTCAAAGGATTCCGACTTTAAATGGGTTTTTAATCACCATCGACTTTAAAGACCCAAAACCACTGAACTGAATGGTGACTATGCAAATTAAATTCGTCTCAGAAAAAGTTTCTAGTACTAGTACAAAATAAATTAATAATCAAAACCGTTAACATTGGATCGTCTAACGAACGTTTCATTTCAGATTCGAGAGGGATTTGTTTCTCTCTAGCATAACAAGAAAACAAACAGACAATTCCAAGCCAACAGCTCGTTAATTCAAAGCAAAACCCGCCCAATTCTTATGCAAATTAAGAGCAATATTACTGCTTTCAGAAATTGTGCGCTTCAGTAGTTTTGCAAGTTTTTTGTCATTTGGAACGCCTACATGGTAAACAACATCGCGAATGGCCACTTTTTTTATTCCCCCTCGTTTCAGAGAAGCCAGAACGTGCAATCTATGCTATCTCGCGTTGGGAACAAGTGGTCTTCTGGTGAAAGCATCACCATCCCTTCGTTTATTGCAAAGCGGAAATTTCGTTCGCACGGATATTTTCCCAAGTGTGGGAGGAGTTTGGGTCAAAAGAGCCGAGATTATTAGATTCGTATTGTTCTTTTGCCGTTTGCGTACGTGAGTTTTACTTCATCGGAATACTTCGTAATGGGGACAGTAATGCCTATGTCTCCCACAGCACATGATAAGCACAAGACCTGTTTAAGCATATGAAGCTAAAAATTTGTCAGAAATCTTTTATTCCGTAACTTTTTAAAGGCCATTTTGTAACTTGTTTACTCCGTATCCTGGTAGCCGACTCAATTTACAAGTGGTCATTATATTGGACTCCTAATGTTTGATTCCTGATAACAATAGAAGATTTAATGTCGGCCTGTGGAGTTATAAAATCATGGATTACCAATTTGACTGGTGGTATGTTTGTTCCTTAGTAATTGAACTTTCGAACCAAGGAATGTGACCAAACAATGCTCCACGATCGAAAACAACACAATTAAGAATCTTTCCACCCATCTCAAATAGCCCGTGGTCGCTTTCGAGCGTAACGCACTCAAGTAGTGTTTTACTCTAGAAAGTGTTTTTCAGAGCTTTTTCCATTCAATTACCCCGCCCAGTTCACGGTTGACTTAAAACTCCTTCCATTTTGCATTTTTATTACCCCGAGTCTAATAGTTCAAGGTTAATATCTTCCGCTCGCTGTTTTGAACGATTAAAAAAAAAAGAAGTGTCAAAACTAAACATCACAAGCGATATTACCAGTTTGGGTGATAGTGTAATTTCACTCCAGGTTTTCTCGACCTGTTTTCGTGTGATGAATTACTAGCGATATGTTTGTTATGAAGAGATTAATAACAAAGGACTGTTTGAGATCATATTTGTGTATGATGTAACCGCTTTTTTAAAGAGTTATCTAGAATCAAAAACCTCTCAAAAATGCAAAAAAATCGAAGTCAGCAAGTTTGTGAATAAACTGGGTTAACCTAGGAGTGAAATCGCTAAGAGACATTTAAATCGAACGGTTTTAAACACAAGAAAGCTTTAGGAGAACGCCTCATCTTTAAACATAAGTTTAATTATAGTGCATTCCTCAAGCGTGTGGGAAACTTGATTTGAATACAACCAGGAACTTTCAAAATCATTAGGACGCTAATATAGGCATGCATATTTTTCAGGGAAAATGTTATCTTTGGTTATCGCCTATCAAGTTTAGGAGAATATTGCTCTGGGACGCTACACTGAAGAGACATTCCGAAAGGGTACCGTTACAGCAAAACAGGAATTTCTCTTTGTCGACAAAATCAAAAGTATGTTTTCTGAGGGGCGGAGATAAAGTTTTCAAAAGGTTTCCATAACAGTGAGAAACAAACATTAGGCATTTTGATGGAATGAAAGAATAACACCCGAATAAACGATAGGGCGAAAAAATAAGTAATATCGTCCAACCCAACAAAGATTACAGCGCCGATATCCCGTAAACAGGTAAAGGAGCAATTTGAGATGAAATGTGTGATTAAATGTTTTACAGAAACTCCGCTATTTATAGAATTCATTTGCGGTTGAAAAACTTAGAAAAGTTGTTTGTTCCGTAGTAATCTCGAAAAACTAGTAATGCTAATTTTTTTTGTCAGTTGATAACAATGCATGATATGGGGTCTGTACCTAAGGGTTGTAAATCTGGAATGGAACGCGCAGATTTTCCTGACACATTCAATTCTTCTTTTTCATTCTGGTTGATCCTTGCGATACTTTAAAACCGAGGATTGTGCTTATTTTTTGGCCTATTTTGATAAGAGCGCCAATGACGTCAAGAACGTTTGCTACGGTTCAAAGAAGGTGAATGCTTAAACACGTGTCGGAACGGAGAACGAAAATGTAAATTTTCCCGAAGACGCTGGGGAATTCAATAACCAAATTATCGTTAAACCAAAATTTCGCCAATCCCTAAAGTGTGCCAGATGCTTCCAAATGTCATCTTAGAATCTCACATTTGAAGAACTTTCTACAGAAAAGCAGGTTTGCACGTGCGGGGAAAATTTCGTGCCTGAAATGAAGAGGCCTAATTCAGATTGCCCAAGCGTAGCATAATCGCTCACTTCCGGTGAAAAATAGAACCCAATAGGGGTACCGGCAGTGAGCTAATATTTACTCTGACTTCGTGCGGCGGAATTTCTCGCTTCTTGACAGACAACGTCTCAAAATCTTTATCACTCGACGCCATTCGGCTACCTCAATCGTAATGGATTAGACCACGGAAAAATTCGCCAGACTATAGGAAATGTTTTACATGTCCGATCGGAGTCGCGCGTCTCATCCCTACTGAAATTGTCGGGGGAGTTACTTTCATGATATTTCGACCTGTGACGTCACCCAACGGAATTCTCCTGTCGAATGAGCATTGAATACTGATGTAGTATTATCTCATAGCCGCATGCTAATATCCTTAATGTTGTGTGTTGAGCAGTTAACGGCTGCATTCGTCAGCATCCTTGAAGAGGAACACAACCACACGAATCGCTCAGCAGGAATTTCTCCAATTCTACCGCTGTCGCTATGCCTCGAGCGTTCTTGATCAAAGCAAAGAAGGAGAAAAAAAAAGAGGATGGGGCACCTTCTCCTCAAGTCCAAGTAAACAGACAATTTTCCAACGGAATTTCTGGTGAGTTCATCACTTTTGAAGCTGCTAGGATTTCATGGGCGAACTCTCTTCGAAATTTCCTCCTTTACTTCGAAATCACGTTGTTACGCTAGTTTCGAAACTCGAAGATGGATATCGAAGATAGAGTCACTGTGCCAGATATGTGTTTCAAAAGTTTTCTCAACTCGTGGAAATTCAGCTTTCAAACATTTAGTTCACGTTTTTTTTAACTGCCCGCGCTTTCACGTACCTATCAACTTCTGAGTCAAGCAGTGCAAATTCTGCCTGCTTTTTTGTTAGCTTTCAAGAAAGTTTATCCTGCAGAATTACAACTGCCTTCCGCCGCATTCCGAAGCGTTAACGAATGCAACTTTTGAGAGCCGAAGTTTTTCTTAGCCCTCTAAGTTAATTACCGCGCTCCTCTATTTACTGATCAGTTGTTGAATATTTAATTAGCGCGCTTGTCGAGTGATTTGTCCATCTCGCGTTCAAGCGATTAACAGCTCAAAAAATCACTCTCTTCTTATCAGAAATGTAAGTACTACAATTTTTAAGTATAGATCGGAAAGCGTTCAAGAGTCGCGTGCAAGTTGCGGTTTCATGAAACGTGCACTGCTGGGAGTTAATTTCAGTAACGGTACTTTTGTCTCAATTTGACGTTTTTCTACAGATCCCCTCAGTAACGATAGGATCTTGTGCACTTCCGAAGATCAGATTTCACCGCCTACTCGCTCTAAAGAGTCGCCTGTCCGTCTCCTTGTCAAGAGAAAACATTCACACGTCACAACCGGAGAGGATCGGGAAACAGTTTCTGCCTCGCGCCTGACTCAAACGGGGGTTTTCGAGACTAACAGAAATGGCATCTCGGAATCTCCACGAGCGGATAACGCAATTGTACCCAGAAAAACGCGGAAAAGAAACCCAAAGAAAACGGTAGTTTATTACTACAAAGCTAAGCAAGAAGTGGAAGACGGGAATGGCGGAAAGCGTGTGGCAGTTTGCCACGACCCATGTTTAGCCAAAGACGTTCCGCTTGAAGGCAAATCTACTTCAACGCATCAAAGGAACATAAATAATTATGTGGCGGCAAACTCCAAGCGAGTGACATCTCAGGGGAACCCCAATTGTGGTTATCATTTCAAACCGCCCATGCATTCAAAGAGCTGTCAAGAAAAGTCTGCACGATTTGAATATGAAAAGGCTGGCCATCAAGAAAGCGCCAAGCAATTTAATCATGCGGAACCACGCACCGGAAAGTTCTCGCGCGAAAGACGCGAAGTCGCGCCAACTGCGGGCAACGTTGGCTTAGACAATGTCAAGATCGTGGAAGTTCATTCTATCGGCCAAAAAATGGACATTGTTTATCCAAATAAAAGTGGCCCAGTTCCAGCTGCTCCAGTGCATCATCGAAACGAGGAATATCGCTGCAATGTGTCTTCTGCTAATAATGTTCCAGCTTCTGATCCACCAGCACATTTCATTCAAAGGAAAGAACCCACACCAGCACAAACTTCTGCACCTTCTGCCACACCAGTTGTACATTACCTTCCAGTGTATGCTATTCCAAGTTCCCAAGGAGTGCAGTATCAGGCTGTTCCTGGGGCTGCTATTCTTGAAAAGGTTCCAGGCGTAAACAATTTGTATTCCCCAGTGGGAAAGAATGGAGAGGCCAAATCACATCCAGCATATCCACAACCAGCCCCTTCAGCGACCCAACCACAACCACCACCACTGTCACAAGCACCTTCAGTTGTACCCCCACAACCACAAGTACAAGGAGCCCCAACACATACCCAGCATCACTTGCCTCAGCCACAACCTCAGGGTCCTGTTATCTACCAACCAAGAATGATGTCAAATCCTAGTGCTGCTCACCCTCTGCAACCTACAATGGTACAGCCTGGTTACCAGCCACAGTTGACCAATCCCCCCATGACTGCTGTACCATATCCTCCACCTGATGCAAGAGTCATCCCTGCACAAACCTACCCACCACAAACAGTAGCACAGGCCATGCCATCTCCACCATATGTTGTCACAAAGTCAGAACCAGTTTCGCCACAACAATTGTCACCTCCCAGTCATTCAGTGGCTACCTCTCAGTCATATCCTGTTCCTGTGCAAACAGTAGCTCCTCATCAACCTCAGCACTACCCATCACAAACTCATACCGCTCCAGGACAGCCGCTCTACCCTCCACAAGAACAGAAGTTTACACGACCACCCATGTACCCACCTCAATATCAAGCGGCACCAAATCAGACCCCCTACCCTGTTCATGCTGTTGCACCTGAGGCACTTCCTTATCCACCAGCCACACAGCAGGTGGCTGTCAGTCAGCCCACACCACCACCACAGGCACCTGCAGGACCAGTTCTTTCCACTGGACATCCATATCCAGCAGAGAGACCAACTCAGCCATACTACCCACCTCAAAGTGCAGCACAGTACCCACCTGATAAGCCATCTTCAATGGCAATTCATTACTATCCAGTTAATAAACCACCAAATGAGCAATCAGTTGTGCAGCAGTATCCAGATCAGAAAGCAGTACATTTGCCATCACCTCCATATCCTGTCGAGAATGTAAGCCAACCTCCTACTCCACAGTACACCCCAGATGGAAAAGAGCAGCAAAAGTTTGTTTATGCACCCCCACCTCCAGACTTCATGCGCAGTCCAGTGTACAGAGTTCCAGTAACTGAAGCACCTCAGATGATCCAGCAAAGTCCACACTCGTCTCAGCCTCCGAGCCAGCACTCAAGAGAAACTCTGAGCCAGCCTCCCAGCCAGCCACCAAAAGGAGCTAAAAGAAGGAAGACTGCAATGCCTCATCGTGAAGTCAGGGACAGTTTGTTGCCATCCGAGAGCTACCCACAGCACAGTTCAAGCCCTGGCACAGACCTCCAGTGTAATGAGAGAATGTCAAAGTCTCCTGGTCACAACCCTGCCTTGAACAAATCCAGCTGTGTGATCACTCCTCCTGGTTCACCCCATGAAGAAGAAGATGGTTCGTACACTGTTGTTATGAGAGATTATGGTATCCAGACTGGGCCACCAACTGAACAGGGCACATGGACTGTCAAGGTAGAGTCTGCTGCTCCACGTGTGTACATTACTGAGAAAGAAGCTCTAGCACATTCTTATAGTGAAAGCCTTTCAGAAGAAGAGGATGAATTTGAGGAGGAGGAAGAGGGAGACTACAATGAACTTGACGATGCAGATGAAACCTACAGCCCAACTCAAAAAGAAAACTGCTCTCCAGGTGGTTTGCCAGAGGATGGTGAGAGTGAAAACCACCTATCAAGAAAAGGAAGGAGAAGGCATGCAAAATACACCTGCAAATTCTGCCACAAAGGATTCCAGTGGTACTCTCACTTGACTTCTCATGAGCGCACCCACACTGGTGAAAAACCATTCAAGTGTCCTGAATGTAACAGAGCATTTACACGCGCCGATGGACTGCAATGTCACATGCTTGTACACAACAAAAAGAGGCCCTTTAAGTGTGATTACTGCAATAAAGGATTCAATGACAATACAAGCTTGGAAAAACACACCTACAGTCATACTGGTGTGAAGCCTTTCAAATGTGAATATTGTGGACGGGCCTTCAGTGACTCTCAGTCAATTGAGAAACATTTATTGGTTCATACTGGCACAAAGCCTTATAAATGCCAGTTTTGTGTGCGATCATTTAATGACTCTCAAATGTTGGTCAGGCACATTCGTAGCCACACAGGTGAAAAACCTTTCAAGTGTCAACACTGCCAAATGGCATTCAGCAAACAGAGTGCCCTTGTCATTCACACAAGAGTCCATACTGGAGAAAAGCCATACCAATGCCCTCATTGTTCAAAGTGCTTCTCAATCTCTGGCAACTTGCAGCGTCACATTCTCATCCACACAGGAGAGAGACCTTACCAGTGTTCTAAATGTCCCAAGGCTTTCAACAACCCTAGCCACTTGTCGCGGCATATTAGCAAACTTCATGCGCCACAACCCAAACTCGAGGGAGTTGTGGATAACCGACCAGGCTTCAGTGCCCAAGCAAACAACACAAATAAACCTGTCCTTGCATAAGTTGTTCTATTGATGAACCCTATGGCATTTAAATTTTTGCAAGAATTTGCATATAAATATTTTCTAGAACTGTATTTTGTACTTAACAACATTTAGATGATTTCCTGTGAGCTTTTCAAACTTCTTTCTGCGCTTAAATATCTTGCTATGCAAGACCAAAGTAAGTGCAATCACTAACCAAAAAGGTATAATTTATACCAGGTTTCACCAATATAATTGTGTTGTATTTAGATCAATAGTTGTTTAGTCTTAGACTCAAAAAAGGCCAATGCATCAAAAGTGAACAATTTATAAGGAATCTGTACAATGTAGAAACTACATTTCATGGTCCATTTCTTGAGAAAATTTTTTTATTAGTTTCAAACAGGAAGACCATTCAGGTGTAAATATATTCCTTACATGACTAAAAGGGACAATCGTGACACGGGAAAATATTTTTATCAATACCTAAGTTATTAAAGTATTATATTGTTTTATACCAAGAAAAATATTTATTTTGACTAGATTTTCTAGAGGTATGAAACAACTGTTGAGGTTAAGTCACTCAGCCATATTTTTGTAACATGTGATACGTATTTAAGCAAAAGACCAAACATTATCTTTGTAAATAAAGAGTTTGATAGTGAACTTTTGTCGTGAAATTCTTTGTGGTTTAAGCCCTTGAATTAGAATTATCGTATTGCAGCTGGGACATTTTTAGTGCACAGTCAGTATTGGGATAAGTTCTCCCAGATCAAACCAGTTTCACTCCAGTCCTTAAAAATTTGTCCATGGGAAAGGGTTTTTCACAAGTACATTATGACTACATTACATTGTAAGCTGATCTTGTTTTCCTACCTTTCAGAAACTAAATTACATTGCATTTTATTTCATCCTGGCTGATATGTGAAACTAAAAGACAAAAAGAAGACTTAAAGTAGTAAGTCTATAAATTTGGCCACAGGAAACTTCTAACTATTTTCCCCTCCCTTAAATGTCGATGAAAGGAAATTTATTAATAACTACTGCCCTCCAATAAGTGCCTTATAATTAGTTGAAGGAAGCATATGATAAAGAAGGATAGAAAAAAAAAGGGGGGTGAAGGAAACTTGATCCTGTTTCACATGTGAACTTATGTAAAATTTGTGCCTTATGTAGTTAAAAGGAAAAGCTTGAAATCTCTCATTGTGTGAATGTTTCTGGGAAATCTTGAGGTTTTCATAAAATTTAAGAGAATATTCACCAGTCATATATTTTAGGAGGTAAATCACACCTCATTTTAATTAAAAAATTTGCAAATTATGTACACCTTTCTGTAAAATTCATTCATGAAACCTTAATTTTGCACTTCATCATGCCTTGCATGTTAAACCTTTAACCCCCAAGTGTGACTCCCATCTAATTTCTCCCTAGAATAGCACCCCTGAGCCACACATTAAGGTCATGAGAATAAAGAATATGATCACCAACTAAAGAAGCTCTTGATTGTTGAACAAATTCTCCTTGTCAGCAACTTAGGAAACATGTAGAGAACAGTATGGAGAATATGCATACTGATGTTAGGGTCTAAAGGGTTAAAGGATAACGAGGAAAATAACACGTATGGCATGTACATTGCACAACATCCTTGTTATACGTAACACAAGCCAGACAATTTGATTTCAACATGGCAAAAAAACAGCACATTGAAGCTTAACACTACTTTCTATTTAGTGTAATATTTACAAAAGATTTCCTGTTTTGTCATCAATGATAAAAGTAAATTCTCCCCTCTAATAAACCAGAATGGGAAATGTGGCATTTGACTGAGTAAATGCTGTACATCCAAGCAAAAAAATAACAACAGCAACATGGAAAATTAATACTGAAAAAACAAGATTGACTGTTATAGCTATCAATTGAAAGTAATTTTCCTTTGAGTGTTAGTTGCATTGCTAAAAATTCCAAAGCCAAGAACATATCTAAAAAGGGAAATTAGCCCTTTCACTGCAAAGATCATAATGTCAATTTTCCATACCCTTCTTGTACCTTGTGTCCAAGGATTTGGTGTTCAACCCAAAAATATCCCCTGGTTGGAGATTTTCATATTTATCATCACCTTTCTGCTTGAAACTCTATTGATACAACTGGGAGAAATCTATTCTTGGTCAGTCCTAAGAGTGAGAGAGTTACATACGGTCAAGTGTTAGTCAAGATTTAACATCTGTTTCTTGAAACAGATAAAATAAATTGTCATCATGGACAGGTTCTGTGAAGCCAGCATCTTCAAGAGATAATAATTATCAGTAATTATCAATAAAAGTAAACAACCTGGGCCCAGTTGATTGAAGGCCAATAAGTGTAAACCTAAGGTAACTATTGATCTGGGGTTCTTTATTCCTTTGCTCAAAAGGCTTTAGGGAAAATTTTCTCTGTTCTTTTCAGAGCATCCAATCATCATGAACAAAAAGAATTGTACTTGCTTTTCAGGTTTTCAGATCTAAAATCAGATTTCACACTTATCTTGGGTTATTTTAATTCAGCTTTAAAAAATGCAGCCCAGGAATATTATGAAAAACTAAAAAATTCAAAAGTCAAGGGCCAAGCTAAGAAAAAAATCCTAAAAGCAAAGTTGCTCAGAGTTGGTCACACTTTGAGTCCAAAGGTACTCAGATGGAGGTCTCGAGGCAAAAGATTGATTAGCTACTGAAAAAGATTCTTTTTAACAATGTTGATCTTAAATTAAGGCACAGTAATTAAGTTAAGCTAAGTTGATCATTCTTAGATCTTTTTCTAACAGATGAACCAATTAATGAAATAAAGACTCTTTACAGTGGCCAATATACATTATCAACACTACTAATGAAACTAAATAATCCAGTGATTAAATAGTTATCAAGTTCCTAAATATAAAATCACTGTCAAACTTTTGCTTTGCACAAAACAGTCACACCAGAGTTAAAACATTTGTTTTTATTTGTTTGATCAGGAAGCCTATCATGCAAAAAAAGGCATATGTTTAAATTAAGGCAGGCAAGATTAATTTTGGTCTAGAGCCAGGTTTTGAGACCACACTTTTCCATATCTTGACCCACCCAGAATTGATGATCGATGAAATCACATAGGCGCATGGTTGCTGACACAGGAATTAATTTGTGAGTGCAAGGAGAGAGAGAAGGCAATCAATCATGCAAGTATTTCTAAATGTATAGAACATGAAAAATATTTCTACAATTATCTCGCAGCTTAAAGGTTGCAAAACCTGGTACTAAAAGGGGAAAGATTTCTGCAGACCATTGTAAAAACCACAGTATCACAGGGAACCCATTATTTGTGGCATTGTTTTCTTCATACAAGAACTGTATGCATAGTAAAATATGAGGCTGTGCAGAAATCTTGCCCTTGAGAGAAAAAAAAATTAAAATTTCTGATCAGCTGGAAATTCACCAACTACCATGACAACACAGCTTAAGCATTTTATTAATTATTACAGTGTTCACTCTTCAATCGGGGTTGCCCTGAAGACTTCCAAAACAAACGGTCGAATAAAATGTCTCTGCTTTTCCAGTTCGCTACGAAGTTTCTTCAGATCTGAAGGGATATTTTCCACTCTCCCTGATAAAAGCATTCCTTGCTTGGCAGTCATGCTTTCTTGAAATTTTTTAATCTTCACTGGTACCCTTGTTATGATATGAAGACCAAAGTACTTTCCTTTCACACTCCGCCATGATTTCAGAAGTACAATTTTTGCCAAAGGCACTTTTTCGTCGCCTACCATTGTTGACGTCGTTATGTTTAAATCTACGATCTGGCTGAACTTGACGCGAAGCGAAACTCGAGGAGTAAAAAAGGTTAAGGCGTAAGATGATGGAATTTTTGATTTATTCAAGCAAACTTCTTCACAAGCTTGCTGAAGAAATTCCGACGCAGTCGTTTTCAAGCTGTATTGTGTTCCGATGTTTTCGTTCTTGATTTCCAGTGGAGAGCACAAATATATTTGAAAAGTGGGAAGAAGAAGCGCCCAAAGAAACGCTGGAAGCAACAGTTTTGAATACAACCTTAGCGGTTTGAAGAGATATCCCGCAATGATTGTAATCACTATCAGCCCGATCACCGATAGAATCTTCGAATTGTTTCCAAATACTGTACCAGCATTAGAAATAACATCACCACCGACAGCTGCAAGCCAGAATAGAGATGGCAGAACCATTAGGCAGAGAAAAGCAAAGTTCTTGTAGGATGTTTTCGAATCATCGCTCGATCCGCCATCTTTAGATTTGTTAGTCCGTTTTTCTCCCGGATTTCCACCTTTTTTCTCTCCCATTTTTGCCAGGAAGATTCTCAATACAAAGACTCTACTGCCAGTTCGAAAAGGACGGGTGATGAACTTTCTTCCTTTTGAAATTCAAGAAATTTCTTGATATGGACCACTCTCAGCTGATGAGTGTTTGTTCCCATGTGAAATTTAACGTGGCAACTGAACGATAATGTTTTCAGTAGGGGAGGTAGAGTAGACTTAAATTTTCATAAATTTCGTATTGTAGTCTTTGATTGTGTCATATTTCATTTATTTAGACAGAGAAATGGATTAAGTTAGGAAGAAATGTTCAAGAAGATAATTACTAAAGGTTGCCAGAGGTCATTTATTTGGAAAAGCTGAAGATTACCCTCATCGTACCTTAGCAGACCCTGGAGGAGTTTGTTTTAGTTAAGCAGCGGCTGCCAAGCTAGCTACAAAAAAGGCGGGAATTTTTCAAGTTCGTTTCCAATATGGCGCTTTCGAAAACAGAAAAGACAATTACTGCTTGTAGTAATCTTCAGATTTCTTCCATTTCCCGAGAATGGGCAGAAGATGCTTGGAATTCTGAATTTTGCGAGTCTCAAGGGTTTCCAGAGGTCATGGAAAACTGCATGATTGACCGTGGATACTTTGTACGGGAATTGAAAGAGCTGTTGTTGATTTCAAAGCAGTGGACAACTTCTGTGAGCCAAGACGCTTTAAATGAAGGTGAACTTGCTGTAGAAGCTCTGTATTATTTTGCATCTGAGTTGGTTCATCAGTTTTCAGTGGATTCGAACGCGATCGTTCCCATCGGTGCGCCAGACGCATTCCCCTTTTCAGGCTACTATTAACAACTATTTTTTAGAAATTTAAAAATACTGCTGTTCACTGCCAATGTCCAACTTAACCCTGCCAAATAACTTTTAGTTCTTTTATTTTGTACTCCTCTTTATCTGTTATTTGTTTGATAGACAGGAATAAGTTTTCATGAGCTGTTTCTAAAGAAATCCTGACTTTTTTTTCAGGCTTATGGAAAGTTCTTTCAGACAACAATTTTTCACACAAAGTCTTGATTTCTTTGCTCCACTCATTTATTGAATCGTGTGACAAGGTGAGAGCTATTACTCAGTTGTATTGGCCTAGGATAAGACACTGTTTGGCTAAGCCCTTTTAACTCTTAGAAGTGATTAACATGTAACTTCTCCCCATAATATCTGGACATCAACCAAACAGAAAATGAGAATACTCAAACTTTTCAGATAGAAGTTGTGATCTTGATCTAAACCCAAATTTTTATAAAGCAGCTAGATGAGAGAATGAACAATCATGTCTTGGGAGTTATATGGTTAAGGAAGTATTTTTGCCTGCTCATTAAGGATTTGATTATGTCTGAACAAAACCAAGTGATATTTGATGATTCCATAAACTCCCAAGATCTGTTTTGTACATCAAAGTGCTCTCCCTTTTAGGAGGCCCCACTGAAAAAAAAAAAAAAAAAAAAACAAGATTTAGAGGGGAGCAAGGGATCTCAACAGAAATTGACAAGGGTTGTGACTTAAAATGGTTCTGCCAGTGTGAGATTTATACATACAAGTGTTACCCAGTTTTCAAACCTTATATCCACTACAAAAAGCCTTCATTTGAAATTTAATTCAAGATAAAGAGTGTTAGGTGTTTGTTTCAGATGGAAGGAAATATTTGTTTGTTCACTACGTGGTACCAGAGAACACTTAAAGAAAACATTCAATGCAGCAAACAATAAGCTGTTTGTAAACATTTATTTCACACAATAGCCCCTATTTTGCGCAAAAGCATATTTGTCCTTAGACATTATTTGTTCCTTGAAGCTCACAGTTTTCCTTGAGCTTGGTTCTTGGAAAATTGTCTGCATCTTGGAACAGATAGTGTCAACAGATGAATTTCTTTGCATATTTTTGCACCAAATGGAGGCTATTGTTTATTTAGACATAACAAGTTGATTTTTGTACCTTGTGTAGACATCAAACGCTGGACCTAAACTGGAAAGCTGTGTGTTAGCAGCTAACATTTATGTTATTTTGGTTCAAATACCAGGTGAGGAAAATGTTAATTATTAGAAATGAAATGGGTACCCTTAATTAATGCCTTCTTCGTACACCTCACCAAGCTGCTTTCTCTTGACTTATAATCTTGAATCGTCAAAGATTGTGAATTGGGGAGGTGGGGGAAGGGAGGGTTGAAAGGTTGCAGAGGGCTTGCCTATTATCTCAGTGGCATAGGTTTTGATGGTCTTCATTATTTCATTAAATTTTTATGATGAGCTTGAAAGAATGGCATTATTTTTCTCCAGGGAGTGGAGCATACAAAGTTTTCCATCCTTTATTATTCCAGAAAGCTTTGGATGTGTTGCGTCTTTGGCCTCACAGAGGTAGGGAATTGTTTTGTCAAATGATAGAATGAGAAAGACAGTCAGTTTTGAGTTTTATTATTAAATGAAGAAAGTTGTTACTAAATGTTTCTTTGTAATTAACATGGCAACTGAAAAAAATATCCAAATGAATGAGGGGGTGAAGTTTCTAAAGAAACTGTGGTGGTGTGTCCATGGGAGAGTATAACAGGGTAATTAAGTATTTTCAAACTGGGCCACTGTACAGACTTTCAAAGCTGACATTATGTGCATCAGCCTTTTGTCAGATCGAAACAAGCCGTTTGCTCTGATGAAGGGCTAATGCTTGAAATGTCACCTTTGAAACTCTTTACGGCAGCCAATTTACCCTATCAACCCAGTTGATAATTCTAAATTACCATTAAAAAAATCACTTTTCAGCCATAAGAAATTGAACTTCAGACCTTTGAGTTTCATGTGCCAGTGCTCTGCTGCTGTGCTTAGAGAACTTGATAATAAGTTTGGCAAATATATGAATATAAATTTATGTATGAGATCAGACAAGTGTCTTGCATGCTACTAGAAGATCAGCTAAGTTGAGAGCTTGTGTGAATGAATGGAACAAAGAAGATAGTAAATCATAGATTTTTGTCAAGTAAAGAACAAAAATGTCACTCATTTGCTGTTTTAAAGGTGCATTGATGGTTTTTAGTATCAGTGCTTCATTTGTTCAATACTTCATGAGTGTTATAGGGTCTTGCAACTATCACACATGAATATGTTGAAGTATCTTCATCTCCCTGTGAAGATTTGGTTATAGCATTCAAAAGTGGAGAGAAAGATCTGTGTGAAAAATCAGGTTGAAACTGATTAATCAGGAATTATATGAAAACAAATATTACTGACCAAAAATTCTGTAGCCATCCTTCTCCTTGGTGATTTTGCATCTTTTTGGTACCACAAACAGAGACAAACAAGAGGAAGAGACAAGAAGGGGCATTAACAAAAGGTCGTAGAACAAAAGCAAGACATGGAAGAGAAGGTAGAGATAAGCAATGGGCTGTATGCTTTAACCATATAGTTTTATTGTCTAGGTAAGAGTAGTCTTGAAAAAAACTGTTGTCAGTGGTAGTGACTGATGTTTCGACAACCATGGCAGAAGTCATCTTCATTGTTGTCCCCTATGGATGACATCAGGCTTGATTCTGATGAAGACTTTAGCAAAGGTGGTTGAAATGTCATCACTGCTACTGACAACAGTCCTTCTCAGGACTTGACTGGGATGATCAAACTACAGAATCTAGTGTCATTTTTGCAAGCGAGTGCTCTGTATTCTCTTTGTGATTTTACAGCAGTGGATGGCTGGGAAGGGAAATAAATTTGTACCAAGGGGGGGTGAGTGACATTCATAAGGAAGGAGAGGGGTAGGGTGTGAAGGGACTGTAGAAATAAAGTCTTCTTGCCTTTCCCTGTCCCCTTTCCCCATAGTCCACTCTAAATCTAAATCAAACATGGCTGGTTGAAAAAATGATGGTGAGCTTGTAAGGTTAGGCTACCATGAGCCTCCAGGAATCTATCCTAACTAATTGTCATGATCCCCTTAAAAGCCAACTGGAAGTGCAATTTTCATTTCAGAAAGTGATGGTGATTTCATGGAAGTAGATGCTGCCTCTGATGATGATGATGACAACGATGGCAGTGGCAATGAGGATAATGAAATGAGTGGGCAGATTAGCACTGAACAAGCCAAGGCTAACGTTAAATTCAAACTGTTATCATTAATGCAGGTATGTGCAAGTTTATGGTAGATCTCTCTCATAAAAAATTAATTAAAGTGTCTGAACATTGTCATCTGACTGAGTGAAACCAAATTATTAGGTGAAAAATTAAATAATTTGTTATACTTATTTTAACAGCATTGGTTATAATTATTGGAATGTTTTTTAAGTTCCCACCCCTGAGTCTTTAACTGGTAGCAAAATTCTTGTATTCTTTTTTGTTGTTCCTTTTTGCGCTGTAGGATGCAGTTGTACTATTGAACAGCTACTCCCTCAAAGATTCTGAGCAGGTTGCCCATCATGTAATTCAGTTGTTTGTGGAAACTACACGTCAGGACGTTGAAACAATTGAACAAGTTGTATTTGACTTTCCAGGGTTAGTTCCACTTCTTTTAATCCAAAGTTCAGAACATGTACTACTTAGAAATAAAATAAAGTGTTTTCTTGATCTCAATAAGGTTTGATTGCACCTGTTTGATTGCAGGGACCAAATTTATTCCATTAAGTCTATTGCTTCATTGGCCTACTTTGTAAGTATAGTTTTGTCTTTTTGTATCAGTTACATGATAACAATCATAATTTTCAATTTTTTCATTCATAACCAATTTAATCATAACCATTAAATGTCCTCAAATGTGATTGGTGCATCTGCTGCTTCATTTTGTACTCACACTCTTTAAAGTTGTGATCAGACAGTGTAATCAGACAGTTAGCTGTAATAAGACAGTTGAAGCAGCCAGTCATAAGTCCATTCAGCTAAATCCATCTTGCAATGTTAGAAAAAGTGCATGCTTGAGTTTTTCATGCATGAGCTCCAAAAAACAAGTTTAAAAGCATGAAAAAACACTCCAGAGGGGGATATAAAATTTTTCTCAATACTTTTCATATGTTTCTTATTTGCCTTTCACATTTACACATTACTTTCCAAGTAATTTTTTTCTCATCTAGGATCAAAGTGGGAAACCCTGAGCCTATCTTGCCCCCCCTTTCCATGTGGCCAATCAGAACACAGTATTTGCTTTATATTGCCCCCTGGGCACTGCTAGCGATATAATAATTTGCTAAAAATGGGTGAGCTCATGATTTGTGAGTGCATGGTGGTCATTTACATCTTTTTCTTCGAAAAATACTTTTGGACTGAGATGATAACCCTCTTCAGCAGACACATATTTGAAGTTCAACTATATGATTTCTTTGCCTTTTTTTAAGGGTCTGAGGGTCATTTGCTCACCTCTTCATGGCGATGTTGGAACAATCACTCACACTGTAGGTCCACAGCTTTTGCTATTAACAGTTTCAATCCACAGATCTACATGTATAAATCAATTTCTAATTATATCTTGGAAAAATAGCAGAGAAAGAAGCAAAACTCATTAAAAACTTTGCAAATCAAACATTTATTTTCAATGATTATTTTCTGACTATTAAAGGTTTTTGAACACTTAATCTCAAATGTTCTTATGGTGTTTGGTGGAGCAATTGCCAGTAATGGAACCATATCGAGAAATGTCCAGAACATCAAGGATCAAGCTGTTGCATTTATCTGGTAAATGTCAAATATATGTTCACTACATCTGAATTAAACTTGCCGGCCTCACTTGGAGGGAAGGGGAGAATGCTCATGGAAAACTAGGGTTGGATATATTAATGTCTGTCAGCAGGGCTTTATAGTTTACTGTATATAGCAAAGAAGATGCAAAAAAACTGCAAAGTATGGTTAAACCTTGATTGTATAGACTTGTATGGATAGAGCTGAATTGCCCAGAATCATCCACTTTTTTTGCTTCACTCCTGATCAGCTAGTGGAAAATATTCACAGATAACAATCACACTTTTTGATTTTAGCGTTCAATTTGATTCATATGCTTCTTCGGTGCTCTTATATTCAGCTATCTAGCAAGGAAAGAGACCAAAGAGGTGCTGTGTTCTGTAGAAGTTCTTGTTCAAAATATCTTTACCAGTTGCCCTGAACGTGCAGAGTATAGAATTACCGTGGCAAAGGTAATTAGACCAGTTACAACTTAATCAGTCTGACCTGGATTTTTGAATATATTTTATCATCATTTGATGAATTTTTTCATACCTTTTTACTAGTGGAGAACCCATTATTTGACCAGCTTAAGGATTATAGGTCTTCCCAGATGTAATATTATCTGACTGGGTTTTCTGATAAACAAGTGAAAGTGAAGTCTTAACTCTGATTCAAAACACTCTGTTTCTCTTTGTAAACAAAAATAATTTGCCTTGCACCAGAAGGAAAATTTTTGATGAATTTCTTTCTTTGTCCAACTTTTCTAGTACCGCCTAGAAAACTGCAAGAGTTGATCTATAATTTTTTTTCTTTTCTTATATACTGTTATCAATGGAATTTGTCTTGCAGGCAGTAGTTGATATCATGAAAATTTTACCAGTTAATCAGTATGCCAGTCTTATAGAATGGATTGACATGTACTCCAAAAATGACAAGGTACTGGTCAGAGATTTGTATGCAACTGATTAGCTGACATGTTACTAACCCTCCAGATCATATCATATATTCTTGTACAGTTTCCATGTGTGACACTGTGAATCATAGCTAGGTCTTTCACTACCCAGGAGACTTCTTACAGCTGTCTGTTTAGTCTGTGAGGAGGCTTTTTGGTTTCAACTTGCGGCCTCTTTATTGGGTGCCACTGTCTATTATAGCATTGTAGCCAATTATGGAAAAAGTTATTGAAACTCCTGGATATTGAAATGAAGATAATGATAATAACGATAATAATGATGATGATGATGATGATCTCAATGATAATGACAATAATGATGATACTGATGATAACAATGATGATGATAAAAATGAAGATAATAATTAAAAGATTAGTTGAACTTGAGAGAAGATGAGCATATTCACTGAGAGGCAGGGAGAAATACTTAAAGGTTGAACCAACAACTTTCAAATACAGCAATATACAACCTTTTGAGGGTAAGTTAGTTTTATCAACTGGGTTGACAATGTAAATTGGCCAGTGTAAAGAGTTTCAAAGCTGACATTTCAAGCATTAGCCCTTTCATTCGCTCTGACGAAGGGGTAACACTCAAGGGGTTGGCTTTGAAACTCTTTACTGTGGCCAATTTACACTATCAACTCAGTTGATTATACTAAATTACCCTGTTAAACTCTCCCACTGACACAACCCCACAGTTTCTTTGGATACTTACCTCACATATACAACCTTTTGGTCTTGCTGCCTCTGTAGTGAGGTGTACAGTTTTTTAAGAAATTGGGCTCCACAGATTGTGAGTAATTCAACAAGGATTTTCTTTTACAGATAAGTTACAGGATATTTGCTTTGGATGTGTTTTCACTTCTACTAGTTGAACCGGAGAGGATTCTACCAGATGGTAAGAGAACATTCTGAATCCTCTACAAAGTTATTCAATTAGGAAAAATCAAAGATAATGAGATATGTGAAGTATAAGTAGCCAAAATTGCTAAGACATAATTTTTTTTTAACCAGAAAATTTACAAGATGATGACAAGAAAAAACTTCTCTGCAAGAAATATCTGTTGGACATCATCATAGCCAGGTGTTCTGACAGGGCACCAATGTGAGTGTAAATCAAGATACTTTAAATCCTTGAAAAAGTGCCAGTCCCCTCTTTTAAGTACCTCCACCAAATAAGCTGCAGCTTTAAGAAAAAACTAACTACTCATGCAGTTAGTGTGGTTGGTTAGTTTGGTTTGTTCTTTGCGTTTGCCTGGTCAGGGATATTTGAAGTCCTTTGCTCAGTCAACAATAATGCACTCTTTCAATTCCACCATTTACTTCACGGTGTTTGGTGGGCCTGTCAACAAATTGAGATCAGATTGATCTTCCATCTGTCAGTTGGTCAAACATTGTAACAGTTAACCCTTTCACTTCCAAGATCTCAATTGTAATTCTTCTTACTGCCTACCATATGATTACTGTGATGTTATGTTGGAGAATCTGGTATTGGATCAACTAATAATCCCCTAATTGTTATCTTTTTTAACTCTCATCCCTTGTTTGTTTGATCTTGTATTAATATTGTAAGGAGAAATTCTTTTTGGTCACTCTTGGGATTGAAGGGTTAAGGTGTGGTTACTAGGAAGGGGATGCTGAGCAGTGACAGGCTATCAGCAGTCTATTAAGACTATATCATACTCCTGGGTGGTAAGTTTAGGCACTTAGAGCAAAGAGTCTTTCCTAAGAACTAAACACAATGAGCTGGCTAGGGCTTCAATCTGACTCTCTCAATCATTGTTCATCTAGGAAAGATGGCATTGTCTCCCACATAATACCAAACAAATTACACTTTCACTTGTATGTAGCACCAAGAAACCACAACACTTTTTCTTGCAGTTTAAAGTCAAGTATTCTATCAGGAGATTTTTTTAAATTGATAAGCTGCTACTTGTTGACAAATTTTGATGCATTCCTAAGTACAATTCATTTTTTTAATCAGGGTGCGTGCCAAAGCTCTGCAGTACTTTGCTCAGTGTGCAACATTAGAAAACAGTGCATTAGTGTTGAGAGTAAAAGAAGCACTTCATGAACCACTGGAGAGTCCAGCAGAGGGGACACCAACATTAAACAGACAAGCAAATAGTGAGTCACTGAAAAATTCTGCTGTAGAGTCTTACATTAATGTTATGTTAATTGTTTAAATTGTTTTTTTTTTCAGGTAAGCAAACAGAGACCAGGAACATTGGTGTGATTATAAGAAAAAGAACGCGTGATGAGAAAGTTGGAGTTCGCAAGGCTGCTCTGCAGGTTTGACTTGTCGTTATTTTGTCCAAAAAGTTACATACCAATTCTTAATAATTTGGGAAATATTCCATTTACACCTAACAGCAGTAATGCTGTCAAAGAGAAATGCCAAAAGGGGAAAAAGCCAAAATTGAGAAATTTTCAAAATTAAATTTTTGATTGTAATTTTATTTTTTTAACTTATTGAAGTGCTTGACATTTATAAACAACATCTGTTTGAAAGAATTTTTTGTGGAAATTCGGTGAAAATTGTTTAGCTGCCGTGTGGCTGCCCTTGGTAAGTTTCTTCTATTACAAATCATGATGTATTATGTCTGTTTATCAATTTCTTTATCATTTTGAAGGCTCTAGAAAGTGTAATCACCCTTAATCTGGATTCCTTGGAGAGAGTGGTAAGAAATGATGTTATTGCTTCTTACTAACGGAATATCCAACGATGACCATCCCTACACAACATCCACTTCTTAATTGTTGTGCCATTGGATGTTCCATTTAGAGTTATTTGAAAAGCTTAATTTTAAGGATGCATTTTTATAATTAAGCATGATTGGTTCATCCTCATGATCTAGTGCAGGACAGACTAGTAGATGATATCCTTACCGCATTTTGATCTCATCTTTGATCTGTTGCTGAACAGACCCTGTGGTAACATGGAATCTATTTGTTAATCTCCTTTGGCAGGGGGAAATGGGTGACAGCTCCCTTTGAACTGTGACAACTATTAACAACTTTCAGATTCCTTACTAGCTTGGTTATATTGAAATTTACCACCCTGGCTATAATCACCCAGCGTGAGGTGATTACAGCAAGATATGGTGCATTCCTTGACCAATCAGAGTGTGTGCATCTCTATAATCACCTAAGAAATTGTACTAGAGCAAGATAGTATGTCATCACCTCAGTGATTGTCTAATTTCAGGATGTGTTGACTCTCCATGATTGCTGTATGGATCCAGCACTTTCTGTCAGAAGACAAGCTATGGTATCACTAACCTCCCTCTTACAAGAGAGGCCCAAGTGTACAATGGTACACAGGTATTAACTCTATGTACATGCAATAAGTGATATTCTAAAAAACCTGGAGCTGGTGTACAAATACTTTTACTTAACTTCTTGATAGTGTTAGACCAGTCTGGCCTGCATGGCAAGTTTCCACTGAAGGTTTGTCCCCAACAGCTATAGGAGGAGGCAAATGAACCCTTCAACTGGCAATACTTGATTCCTAATTTTTTCTTCCAGCTGCCTTTATTACTTTTCTTTAGAATGAGTTTGGAAAATTTAGTGTAATGTTAAAATTTCACTCTGTAACTCTGTGGATAAGTTTGGTTATTCTTGTCTCCTATATGCTGTTGATTTTTCAATATGCAAGGAGATCTTACATGTTAATTGCTTCTGGAGGTGAAGGGTTATTATGGAGGACACTTCTTTTATGGTAATAGGGTGACACTGCAAAGGCGGGTAGCTTCATCTCTTAAAATTAAAGCTTTGGGAAGTCTTAGTGACAGATATTAGATGGATTTGATATTTGGATCTTTGAGATGAGGGAGTTAACTGCATATATCTGGAATTAATTGTATCAATAAAACACTTGTATAAGTTCCTTTAAAAACTCAAAATGTACACTTATTGTATTTTCTTACATGTAGTTTGTGGCTGGAAGGAGTGTTGCCACTTGTTATGGACAGAGAAACTACTGCACAAGAAAAATGTTTTCAAATACTGGAGGAAGTGCTTCTACACAATATTGTTCCTCTCTCAAAGTAGGTGGCTGTTACAACTTAATCAGTTTGTAGATTACAGTGTTAGTTGTGATCAACAGCATCCCAGATTGGATAAGAATCAAAATTTTATGACTTTAATTTGTAGTGCCTTACAAGGATTTTTTCTGCCAAAAGTTCAAGAAATGCAATCAAATATCCATAAAGTTTTGTTATGTGGTAAAAGGCATGCTGAAGCTGTTGTGTGGTTGGTTCATGAACTGGTTACATCTTTTGCCACATAAGCTATCAGTAGCAACATAGAATATCAGAAGGGGGAAAGTTCTTCTGGTGAAACAACAAGTTAAAGGTTCATACCCTCATGGTGTTGAACTTCTGTTCATTTTGGGAACTTCATTGTCAATAGGTTGAAAACCCCAGCTTGGTAATTGAGCTAAAATTTCTTGTGAGGAATGCCATTGGCCAATCTCAATGGTGAGACTTGTGAAACTCATGGTTAAGCTGGCTCTAAATGCTTGCCAGCCAGGTAATAAGATTGATACAATGACACATTTTGTTGATTATTATTCCAGATCAACAGGAACATATCACACTCTTGCTTGGGACCTGCTTGATATTGTTGCCAGCCCATCAGGACAAGAAGTCAGGCAAGTGATATGATGAAATGATATCAGTATGTGACCTGACCCTGTAAAGCATGCCTATACCTTGGAAAAGAGCTGTCAGTAGTAGCAGTTAGCAGAAGTACTAGTATGTTAGGCCAGTATCTTTACTTATGTTGCTTCACTCTGACAAATTCCTACAACAAAACACATATACTTCTTCATTCTTTCCAAGCATGTAGATGTTGTGGTTCAAACAATTTTTGATTCCTGGATTAAAATTTGACAAACCAGTTTTATTTTGTTATTTTCCTTTGTCCCTAATTATGATAAAAACAATGTGAAAATGTAAACAAAAATGAAACTGCTTTGAAAAGACATCTATTAATACTGGCCATTGGCTGCTGCATATTATTCTTTCAGACGTTATCTTCACAGTGCATTTCAACACTGGTCAAAACAGACCCAAAACAAACTCTCTGGAAACCTGGTCAAATCACTTATATCTCACATTGATACTGAGCATAGTAAGGTATGAAGTTCATAAGGACATGGCACACCAGAAATGTTTGTTAGGGTGGCATAGTTTGTTGTTCTCCTTGAAATTCTTCTTGTTGTACACATTTTCAGGCAGCATGGCTTTGCTTGGCAGCAATTGGTTCATCATCAAACAAACTTGACCATACCTTTGTTGTGAAAAGTTGGGATGAGTATTCGAAAGGAGTAAAAGGTACAAGTTAAACTGTCATTTAACTTCATTTTGATTTTGAAATAGTATGTAACAGTTAACTATGTAATAGAATCTTGCCATACAACAATGTCTATATGACTAACATTGCACTGAGTTTAGATAGCAATAAAGAATTTCTTTAACCCACCTCTACACCTGAACATCAGTATACATATCCTCCATACTCCTCTCTATTAATTTCCTTTGGTACTGAGAGGGAGAATTTGCTTAACAATCAAAGCTTCTCAGGTTGCTGATCATCTCCCTTTTTCACATGATCTTAATGAATGATGCAGCAGTATTGCTATAGGGAGAAATTAGATACTGGTCACTCAAAGGGTTTAAAGGTTTATATCTACCCGTTTGACCATGATTGCATAAATTCTGAATGTAAGGTTTATACTATTCTATAACTCTCAAAGGCTTAAACATTTATATAGCAATCCCCAACTCTCACTCCATCCTGTTGATCTGACCATCTGATTAACTATTACAACCATTTTTCCACAATCGAATCAAGAGAGACAATCTCAGTAGTAGACATCTTTATCATCTTTCTCTTCTTTCTGGTTTTATTTGTCAGATTATGACATAGAGACATTATGCAGAATCCTGGCAGTGTTGGGAAGCTCTGCTTCCTTTCTTCCCTCCACAGTCACTAGTACCCTAACAGGTATCTTCTATTTCTGGAGAATAACAAACTGTATTTTCTGTTGCCAAGCTGTGACCATACTAGTGTCAGAGATACAAGGAGGAGGAAGGTTATTCTAATTAAATATTCTGTGTCGTGAACCACCTTGACAAAATGGGGGTAGCTTCTTTCACATATTCTTTTTGTATCCTATGGGATTGGGGAAAGGGGTGTATGGTGTTGGGATTACTGAGTAAAGCGCTTGGATATGAGGTGTGTGGCACAGAGAGGGTACAAATCGAGCTTAAAGGGTAGGGAGTTGGAAGAGAAAGCTTCAATGTTTAGAATGATACTGCTGTCTCTACCACACCCTACACCATTGACAAAACCTGCCTCCCCCATTCACTGTTGCCTGTATGTGGCTAACAGTTCATGGAATCACAATATTGCATTGTTTTTTTTTGGGGAGTGGGAGGGGGCAAATAGGTTAACTTAACAAGGGAAAAAGAGATAAAACTGTAGTAATAGGGAGTTGAAAAGGCCATTGTGTCAACAATTTTGTTGCTGATTGTGGGTTTAGGAGGTTGAATATAGCAGTAGGAGCTTGAGATAAGAGACAGGGGCACTAACTCAGGGAAATGGGACAGACACAGCAGTGCAAACTTAAGGAAATTTTTTGTCTTTCTCGCCATGGACAAGAATTGCAGAAGTTTGTAACACTTTGAGTTTGGTGGGGATTGCTCAGACACTGATGCTTTAGACAACTTTATGTTGTCTCAAATCTTTACTTTCATATAAATTTATGTTTGTTTGTTTTTTTATAGCTGATCTGCAGCGGAAGCTTATCACATTTGAGTGCCCACCTGAAGTCATTGATGCTATTGTAGCCACCCTATGCAAGGTGTGATGCATGTACATGCAGATGTTACATGGCAACTCTCATCTCCTGTTTTAGGCCTATTTCAAGTGCTCAAATTTCAATTTGTTTTCGATTATTATCAAATGAGTGACAACCAGTTGCAACATTAAGACCCTGGAATAGCTGAGCACCTCTGTGATTGTGAAATTCCTGGCCTCACCCATCAGGGCTATTAGTGTTAAAAAAAAAAAAATTCTTCCTCTAAAACTGTGTCAAGAAATTTTCAAAGTGAAGAAGATGTTAGCATTTTGTTAATGCTGCCAAGGGAATTTTTTTCTGGATGAATGCCTTTGAATTGCAGTTTCTGTAATCTTTTTTGTTATTTTTTTTTCAAAAAAACAGTTTTAATTTTAGCATCACTATTGATGTATGTGAAGGTTGATGTTTCCTCTAAGCCCATAATGGCATGCTTAGAGAAATCTTAATCTTTGTTTAATGTTTTGCAGCTCAATAAAGGAAAACTGCCAGAGGAAAGAGTGAGCCATAGTCTTTTGTAAAGTTATGGAATGATATTTCAAAAAAGTATCTTCTTAAAAAGAGTTTTGAAGTTTTAACTTTCATTAGTTCTTTTCACTTTTGACAAGTCTTTCATTTTGTAAAGTTTTCATGTGCTTACTTAATCAAACTCTACCCAATGGGACTTTTCAGGGCCAATAAAAATGAATGAATAAGAAAAAGAATTCATTTTTTAAAAATCCCAAACAGCAGGAGGCAGACCAGTTGGCTATATACAAAGCATTGCCAGGAAATTGGCCATTTTACAGTTGTGTGCTTAGTTGCCAAGCCTTTGATTTGGAGTGAAGTTGAAGATGACCTTGTTATGATAAAGACCAGTATCTAGTTAGCCTGATAACAAAGTAATTCTTATTTGAAAAGCAGCAAGGGTTGTATCAAGGGTTGTATCAAGGTCACCTTTAGCCTCACTCCTGTTCAAAGGCTTGGTGACCAAGCATGCAGTTGTCATGGACTATACCAGATTACAAGCCATGTACCATAGCCTCTCGGCCATACTGCTACCTCCTTTGATGCCTGGAGGTAACCATTCCCCTCCAACAGCAAAATAAAAAAAGGGCTTATAAATCCTAAAATTTCACATTTTTTTGCTTTCAGAACTTTCTAGTGTAAATGTAACTTTTGTTAGATGGCCTGATTTTTCATTAGGAAACTGAAACTCTAGTTTTTGATGCACCAGTTAAAGCAGATTGCCTGAATTATTTGTAAATTATTGTTTTCAAAGGGAAAGAGTGATCATTGGTGTTCTGATCTGCTGAAAGCATCAGAGGAATTTCTTTCCAGTGTAACATTAAAACAGGATTGTATTGATGAGGAGCGTCTTATGCGGCATTTGTTTACTGTTGGAGCTGTAGCCCAGGTTTGTAACAGAGATTATGATCATGATACTTCAGATTGCTGACATTATTTTTGGTATTGGTAATCTTCTCCAAGTTTCAGTTGAGATTTGCTCAAAATTCTCCTTGCTTTTTGTTATGTATTCATTAAGTGGAGACACTCTTTAATTACTTTCTAGATTCTGTCTTTATTCATCGATCAACTTTCTAATAAGCTGGTACAGTCGTGTTACTTGATTAAAGTACTTTTAGATCATTCAGTGATTCCACAGTGATATTACTAACATTGATACAAGTACTTTTATTATGTTCTCTTTAAATTTGTAAGGCCCAAAATCATCCACTGCTACCATGCCATTTAAAATACAAATCTTGTTTGAGTTCTCATGAGCTCCTAGTGAAATTTTCGAAGCAATATGATGTTACACCAAACCGACCGATTGTAACATGTTGATCTAGAAGGCAAATTGCCTTCAATCTTTTACTGTAGATGGAACTTTGCACAAAAATTATGCAAATTATTAGATCAATGTGACAATGGCTTGAACAAGGTTTTTTTGTAAAAATTGCTCACAGCTAACACCGACCAAGACAACGGAGCGACTGTTTATGTTTGTGGAATCCATGCTGATTTCTCATGGCAATAATCAAGGTAGGTATTGAATAATCACTCTCTCTATTTAGAAACAAAGAAAAGGGCTTGCATGGAAACAGGTTCAGATGCTGCCTAATCAATGTGAGTTGTCAATGTGAAAATTTTATTTGCATTAGCTCTTTCCCTTTCAACACCTAAACATCAATTATCTGCTTTGTGTGCCCTACATGTCATCAGTATTACCTCTAAAGATCTTTTTTTTTTAAGTTTTCTTATTACTCTAATCAACTAGATTTTTTAATGGCAACCATTGTATGATTGAGGGATGTCGTAAGGTGACATTTTGAAAAAATGAGCTTTTAGCCCTGGCTATATATCGTGTATACTTAAAGCATATGCATCAGTCATATAGTGGTTGATACTATTGGTTGACATGTAGACCAAATGTGGGTCAATATATGAGGCAATACTGGACTGACATATCAACTGTGTATCAGTGGACATGTTGACCAACATTGGCTGCATCTTGACTGACATGCACGTCAGACAAGACTCTATCAGCACATGACCAATACTTTACAGACACTCAGCTGACACTTAGCTGATACTTAATCCACACTAGGCTGACACTTTTGTCACTCGGTGGGCTCTTGTTACTGAGCTCTATCTTCTTTACTAGCTCCTCAAAACTCTTCTTTGTGTCCCCTCTGCATAATGGAAAGGGGATAAGAGACGGCTGCCATTCCAGCAAAACAACAGTTAACAATACACACATACCACCAACAGTCCACCATGCAATACAGTGCTGCATGCTCGACTGATATGCTGCCAACTGTTGATCACAGTGTAACAGTCAAAGTTTGGCCAAGTGTTGACCATCATGCCAACCCAGTATCAACCAGTAGTAGCAAGGGAGGGTCTACCAAGTTGAATAACATTGTAACCAACAGTCAGCCAACTATTAGTCAACATCTCAACCGAGCATTGACCAATTCTTGGTCGACATGTGGACTGATAGTATCAGCTGATACTCTACTGACAGGTGCCTTAACTACACATGATCCAGCTGTATTAGTGTTCATCTTAGGACATAGACATCATCCTTCAAATTTAAACCTGGTTCACATTGTGGAGAGTTGAGATTAGAAAATGTCAGGAATGGTCACTGAAATTCAATGGCAAAAGCTGTGCTTTTTTTTTACTAAGATAGCTACTTACTAACCTCTTTCCTCTCCCCTTTTAGAGAACACACCTGGCTATTAGACAGGGCTCAAAATTATGAACAGGCTTTAATGATGGAATGAAAATGTTTCCCTGCCCCCCATTTTCTCTCAAACTTAATTTCTGATCTCTCTACAAAATTTGATTATTTAGCATTTTTATTCATGAGGCTTATTGGCTATAATATTAACTTTTGTTTCCTCAGATCCTCTTCAAAAACTAAATCTATCACCACCTGTAAAGGCTCATGTATTTGTGACTCTGGGTAAGTTCCATCTCAAGCCATCCGTTAAATTTGTACCAATTTAGAAAGATCACAGACCAGCTTTTACTACTGCTAACAGGTAAGTAGGGTTGTTGGAAAAGTCCTTTGTACTTTTGCTGTTCAAGATTGCAGCTTTTGGTGAGCTGGGGCTTACTGCAGGGGATGTAAGGACATACTTTATTTTTATGGCTCCATTAAAACTAATGAATCATAACAGAGCTGTTTTTGTCCTTGTCAGGAAAACTGTGTCTTCAGAATGAAGATTTGGCCAAACAGTGCATTGCTACTCTTGCAAGGGAGTTAGAAACTTCTGATGACCCAGCAATTAGGAATAATGTTACAGTGGTGATGTGTGACTTGTGTGTGAGGTACATTAACATTGTTATAATATTATTGGAGTGCTAGAATATCTTTTGACACTTACATTTATTACTAATGTACCCCTTCCTTCCCTGCTTCCAACAATATTAGAAGCCGTTTTCACCTGTAATCTACTGTCAGTAAATGCAGGGTTCTCATCTCAGAGGCCACAACAGAACCATTTTTATCATACAAATTTGAAAGTTGTACTTCTTTTTCAGATTTACCAGCCTTGTTGATCGGTATGTTCCAAATATAGCTGTTTGTCTGAAAGACAGCTCATCACTCGTGAGGAGACAGACACTGACTGTGTTAACCCACTTACTTCAGGTAAACGCATTTTCTACTAGCATTTTGTTTTCCACCAATTTTTCCCAAATTTAACTGAGTGTGAAAAACATTAAAATATTTCATGCGACATGTGTAGATACCGTGTAGTGTCAATGTCTTTTTCCATCACATTATGAAAGAGACTGTTGCACTTAAATGCAATATTTGATATACAACAGTTAAACACGCTTTTGCTGTCAAATAGTTATATTATTCTCTTGTATGTCCAAACTGTGTATGAATTTTCATTATAGGAGGACTTTGTCAAATGGAAAGGTGCCTTGTTTTACCGCTTCATCACAACAATTGTTGACGAAGACGTAGAGATAAGGAAATTTGGTTTGTTTACTGTTATTGATTTTCTTTGAATTAAGATTTAGTCATATCTGAGCTATGTAATGCTAATAATGCATCATGGATGCCACAAGTCAGGGAATGGCCAGGAATGGTAAGGGGAGAAAGACATTCCCTCAAGGTCAGGGAAAATAATAATTTATGTGCCTTTGAAAGAAGTCATAAAATGTCAAGTAAATTGGACCTCATGCATTCCAATCATCTTCTCTTGGCATCGATCTTCATGATGAAAGTTGCTATCTGTAATATTTCAGTCCTGCAATCTCAAGTTGGTTTGAGAGTGAAATTGTACTTTTTCTTTTTCCTTCTTTTCATTGTTTTCTAATATTTATTCAATGTTGAAGAGGTGGGAAGTGTTAAATGCATTTCACAGACTTGGTTTTTTTTTTCGGATTGGTAGAATATTACATGTTAAATCAAATTGTACAACAAGCTGTTTTTGGGTGTGTAAGAAAATCAATCCTTCTCCACATTACATGAAGGGACTATCCCTCCATCAATTCATTTACACTGTATGTGACCTGCTGATAGCACATTGAATAAGTGGATGGAAAGAATGGCCAATTAAAGAGGCTCTTGATTGTTAAACAAGTTCTCCTTATCAGCCCCTTAGGAAGAATACAGAGAACAGTGTGGAGAATATGCATACCGATAGTAGGGTGTAAAGGGATAAGCACCAGTGATTATTTGCTGATTACTGCCCCTCTTTTCTTTGCAGCTGAATTTTGCCTTGTTCACCTACTTTTGAGCAGACATCCAGGCATGCTTTTCCAGCATTTTGTGGAGTGTGTGTTCCACTTTAACTCCTTTGAAAAACACCAAGGTACATTGTAGATAGAATGCATTAAGAATGTCAAACAACTTAGGCTTGTTTGCCAGCAGCTGGTCAGAAAAGCAAGACTGTGCTCCCTGTCCCCTCCCCTCCTGCCCCCTGAAGTCTGTCAGAATCAAAGATCAGACTTGAGAAAATAGCTGAAATCCAGCTTAGAACAACCTTGCATCATACTTTTTTACTCTGAATAGTTCCTCTAATTTTTAGGAGTGCAACCTCCAAATGAATTTAAAAAACATTACCTTTGCTTTACTGATTTTTGCATTCTTTTTGCAAAGTAATGCTTGTTAAAGAGTTCAGCTTTCTTAGCAGTTTTGTTTTTCAGCATCACTTGTTAGGAAAATCTCACATGACACAGTGGCTACTATGAATAAGCCGTCATTTAAAGAAAGATCTTGATTTTTTAATGGGTGTTTCAAGATGATGTGGAGGCATTTTGCAAATTATTTGAACCAATAGTAATCAGTTTCTTTGGAATCTTTTAAACACCTTCAGTATATAACAAGTTCCCACAGACAGACACGGAGAAGAAACTGTTTTCTCTTAAAGGATATCAAAATTCAGGGTGGGTTAAACGATTTTTGTGATTTTTTTATCCTTACACTAATTTTCATGCACAGTCTTGAAAGTTGGATAAGTATTTAAAATTGATTTTTTTGATGCATTAATTATATTACTTAATTCCTAGATCAGATCTTAAATCTTGAATAAAGATAGCCAAAGTTAAAATTGTTAAATTACTCTGCATAATCAATTAAATTACCTTGTAAAATTATTGAATGAATCAGAAAATGTTTTAATTTTTGAACAGTCTCTCAACAACTAAATTAAATGTTCTGCTCACTGAGGCCAAGTGACCTGAATTATGAAATTGAATCAGGACTTCAAAATCTGAAAAGTAAGAAGTTCAACACAGATTTGGAAAAAGTCTTGGAAGTATTTGAATTTGCACACAAAATCTGATAGAGCAGGATAAAACTTAAAATAATGGTATTTTTAAGGGTGTTTATTGGCCAATGAAGATTGTAGAATTTTTTGGCCGCCATGCAATAAGAATTCTCCAGCTTAATATTGATGGTGTAGGCTCTTTTTTATTCCAATGAGGAGCATAATCTCCTGTCACTACTGCTACATTTCTTGATAAAGACTCTCATCTTTTCAGGAAACGCTATACAATTTATCAATTTATGCTGTCCCACATGAGCGATGAAGGCCGATTCAACCTCACTGGAAAGCTTTGTCAAGAGGTATGACATATTCCTGTTATAAGATAGTCAGTTTTTGCTTGAAATTTTTCTATCCATGAATCTCTCCTCATATTTAATCAGCCCAGACACGATTCTGTGTGCTGTTTTTCCTCTGATAGGTACTGGGTGGTTTTACTGATGGTGATATTACCTTGGATTCAGATTCAGCTTCTGTCCTCAAAGATGCTCTTTTAATTTTGAGCAGCAAGGTAACAGTTACTTCTCACCAGCTTAACATCCTTCCCCAGCTGTGTCTTGCTATTTGTAGTCTCTAAGACTTTGTGGAAGCTAGGTAGAAATTTTGTAGGGGTTGCAGTTTACTCAAAAGTCGCCTTGTAATATTGTGTTTCTATTGCAGAACATTAAACTGTCCTCAATGAAAGCTAAAGCAGCTGAAGATCTTGCTGATGAGGGGGATGTGGCAGGAGCTGCTATAGTTGAAGCCAGGAACAAATTTCTCACCCAGGTGAGTGTCCATGCACATATTACTTTTGATAATTTATTCTGAAAGGTTTCCTCGGTAAATATAATACATAATCGTAATTCAATTGATTTTGCTTTGTTTCCCTTCAGGTTCTAAAGAAGAACATGATTGAGAATATTATACCCATCATCATTGAGCTTAAACACATGGTGAGTTC